ATCAAACCAAAACCTAAACAAAGTACCACATAGATAGATCATAGCTAGGTGATTGAGAGATCTCATAAGTTTTTGGGTTATTTCAAAATTGTTCTAGTAGAAAATCAAATAAAAATTTTATATAAGATTTTAAATATGTATGTTAGGTAGATTTGTTGGTTCAGTTTGTTGGAAAAAGAAGTAGCCATTGGAAAAAGGGAGCGGAAATGTAATATTCTATTTTTGTGTTCATGAATGTATGTAAAAAGTCTTCTTCATGAACGTATGTAATATGCTATTTATCTGCTATATCTACGCATTGACATATATACACATGCACCCAGCACCCTTCTGTTCATATTTTCAAATAGAACGAAAAGCTGATAAATCTTGATCTACTAATATTACCAAGCAATTTAAAAGTTTAGAAGAGTCTGGGTAATTAAGTTCTAAATTTGTAAAATTCATAATGATAATTCGGAAAGACAAGTTCCTAAATTTTAAATAGTAGATATATGCATTGCTTAGTAGAAAAGAAGCTCTGTAGATTTATTTATATGTATTAACCCAACTGTGTATATTAACAATGATGTCTATAGACACTATTAAATTTGTTCGTCAATTCTGAGTGATTGTTTTTTTGTTCTCACGAGCATATGCAGTTTAGTGTAAAATATTGACTGAAAGATTGTTATGTTTTGTAATTGTAATTGACTGAAAGATCATGGGCTTCTTGTCCATATGAAGCCCATAATCTTGACTATTTTATTTTTCAATGCTATAATTTTCATATGGTAGACTATTATATATGTAGGTCTTGTTAATCATAAATTCATAACTCATAAATTCAGTTTTCAATGATATAATTGTCATATGGTAGACTATTATATACTGGTTCCTATTTTGATCAAATATTAGGTTATTTACTTTTTTCCTGTTTTTGATCAACTATTTTAAGAGATAAAACCCAGCCCATATTAAGGCTTTTGCTCAAAAAACCTAGACCAGCCTTTTATAAACAATGCAGACAATCTTTAGGTCGCTGGTTCGATTCCGGCAGGTCGGAATTTAATTTTTTAACTTTCACACATAATTGGGCTTTAAGAGATAAAACCCAGCCCATATTAAGGCTTTTGCTCAAAAAACCTAGACCAGCCTTTTATAAACAAAATCCTAAGTATTCTAAGAAAAAAAAGCTTATGTAATTCGTATTTTGTGTAAAATATATACTGCGAATACTATTTCATCAATGAATCACAAACTTTCACTAAGCGTAAGAAACTTCGTGAACAATTTACGAGCTAGAGTTTAACTTGGTTACTTCTACATATATACGTACAGTTGTTTAGCAAATCGCATCTGTCAATTTATGATATATTATCATATTAGAAACATTGCTTAGTTTCCACCTCCGATAATTGAGGAATTAATGAAGCCTACATCGCTATATATACGTACGTAATACGTCTACAAGATCTTGGTCACAAGTCACAAGTTATGTGAGTCTCCTTGTACAGACACTATGGCACAAGCGTTAGCGAATCTTCCGTTTAGCTGGATTTTATCAGCTATAGTGATCTTTACATTTGTATTGTGTCTCAAAATTTTCAGGGAAAGCCGCCGTGTTGCCCAATTGCCGGTCGTCAATGTTAGAGTACGAACGTAATTTTCGACGAGGAGGTGATCGTTCTACTTTCGTGGTCCTCGTGGAAGCCTGGACGAATCCTCACCGACAATATATTTCATCTCGTTTATATCTTAATTAATGTTATCGAAGTATAGAAAATATATTTTGTTAACGGTAGGTAAAGTTTTACTATTTGATGTAACTAGGCTTTGATTGAAATGATATGTCAATGTCGCAACGAAGTAAAAGCGAATTTCCATGACATTTTTAAAATTTATATTACAGGGTTATAATGTATAGTGTATACCAAAAAACAAAAAACCTACAGTAATAGGACTTAGACCATCTTTATTGGGAGGTGCTTAACTTGGTTCTTAGCTCAAAAGAGATTAAAATTAAAGATGTAATTGATGATTTTGCTAAGGAATGACTTTTAACTAAGAGTCAAAAATTGGGTTAAGAACCAAAAATTGGGCTAAGAACTAAAACTAAGCACCTTCCAATAATGTTGCTCTTAATATCTTTTATTATGTAGAGAACTGTATAAAATGAGTCTTGGAAAACCGAAAAACAAAAAAAAAAGTCTTGGAAAACTGCAAAGAGTTAAAGTAACTTTTGTCACACTTGTCAGATAAAATCTTATAACATAACGACAAAAAAACTTATATGGCTTCTCGGTTTCTCTTTTACGGCTTTAACTCTCCACTCATCACTCTCTACTCTCAATTTTCTCCTTCTCTTCTTTGAGCAAGGCAAACCAAAAATGGTTACAACCCGAAACACGAAGACCAGAGTCAACTCAGTCTCTCACCGCCGACCACGGCAAGATCCTGAGTCGCCGGTGAAGAAGTTCTTCAAGTTGGTCTTACCTTCAACAATGAAGGAAAACATGATGGTAATTAACAAATCACTTTGAAAAAACTTGAAATAAAGTGTTTGCATGTTTTGTCATTGGTTCAATTCTTTGTTCCTGTAAACTTCTGTTTCACTAAACAGTTTCTTTTTCTTTAGTTTTACTGTATATTGGATTAGAGATCTAAAAGGGATACTAATTTGATAATTTGTTCTTAAGAAATGTAGAGAATATAAGATCTGACATTGTGTTACTTGTTTCTGAAAATCTCATTATGTTATATAACTTTGAGCAGAGGATACCGCCAAAATTCGTGAAGCTACAAGGGTCTAGACTCCCTGAGGTTGTTACATTGGAGACCCCTGTGGGATTCAAACGTTCCATAAAGCTTAAACGGATCGGTGAAGAGATTTGGTTCCATGAGGGTTGGAGTGGGTTTGCAGAGGCTCATTCCATCAAGGAAGGCCACTTTCTCTTGTTCGAATACAAGGAGAACTTGAGTTTCCGTGTAATAATCTTCAATGTTTCGGCTTGCGAGATCGAATATCCACTGGATTCAGTGCATATCAGTGATAGTGACGATGATATAATCGAAATTACAGGCAAAGAGTTTAGTGGAACTCAAGGTACAAGGAAGAATGATCAATCTGTTGATGGTGGGGATACAGAGCACAAATCCAAGAAGAGACCAAGAGACATCGAGTTTGACAAGATTCTACAAGGTAAGAAGACTTTGTTCTTAATAACGTTGTGATTAAGAAGATTGGCATCTGAATATCTTTTATCTTATTTGTGTAGATGTTGATATGATCAATTCAATCCAAGTGCTTAAAGAAGAAGAAGAAGACATGAGAGTCTACAGGGGATAACAGAGCTTTTAACAGAACCGAGACCTGCAAGTGTATTTGTTGTGTAATGTTAATTGTTGGCATGATGAAACTAAAAAACTTGCATTGCACAATTAGTAGTGTTTTGATCCTGACCTGTATGTAACAAGCTATTTTAAACAAAACTGAAACCAGGTCTTGTTTTTATTCTTCTTTCTTTCATCTCGTTCCTCAGCTTCTCTACCTCTATCCATTTCCCTTTATGAGCTAACATATTCGATAAAGCGACATAATCTTCGCACTCAGAACCTGAAAGCTTCTCCTCCTCTCGTTCTATCTCGAGAAGAGCCTTTCCGATTTCTTCACCCATTGCAGTCTCTCCATAAATGCTGCAGGCATTACAGAGACTTCTTAACAATATGGTGTCGGGTTTTATAGGCATAGCTAATACAAACTCATAAGCCTCTTGTATCCGCCCTGCTTTACCCAAAAGATCTACTATGCATCCGTAGTGTTGAATAACCGGTGTGACACCAAATCTTGTCCTCATGCTTTTGAAGAGCTCGATTCCTTCTTGAACAAGACCTATATGACGATAAGCCGAAAGCAAGCTAGTGAAAGTTACTTCGTTTGGTTTGATCCCAGATTCCGCCATTCGATCTAAAAGATTCGGTGTTTCGTTTCCTCTTCCATGGAGTGCTAGCCCTGTTGCCATTGAAGTCCATGTGAAGACATTCTTCACTTTCATTAGCTCGAAGACTGAGAAAGCACTATTTAAGCAGCCGCATTTTGAGTACATGTCTACAAGTCCAGTACCAATAAAGACATCAATTTCGGGTGTGAACCCGAGCTTTTCTATGTAACCATGAACGAGAGAACCGATTTCGATCAACCCCGTCTGAGAAATGGCTGGAAGAACACAAACCATGGTTGTATCAGTAGGTCTAACTCCACTACCACAGCAAGAGAATCTACGAAACAAAATCATAGCCTTTCTCGCATTGTGATTCCCTTTATCCTTATGTGAACAATATCCACCGATCATTGCGTTCCATGTAACAGAGGTTCTCTCAGGCATTTCGTCGAACACCTTCCTCGCATAACGTAAATCCCCATTCTTAGCGTAGCAATGGAGTAAAGTGGTTCCAATCAATTCAGATTCATAGAGAAAGCCAAGCTTTTTCACCATCCCATGAACAATTCTACCAACCCGTAATGCCGACGACGAAGCTGACCTAGCACAAGCGCCAAGGACGAAAACAAAAGTGCGCTCATTGAGATAAAGCAACGAACTTTTTGATGCCCAATTGGTGAAAATCCGAATCGAGTCCTCTGGTTTGCTACATTTAAGCAATGTGTTGAAGAGAAACTTATCAGGATGACCAAATCGAGGAAACACCAGTAAATGAGCAAGCTTTGAGCTTTCTGTTGATGGCTTTGAACAGTAATGGCCTATGAGTTTGCCAAATAGAGAATTATCTTGGCAACCATTGATGACTAATTGAGCATGGATTTGCTTAGCTTGAATTAGGGTTTTCGAATTCTGATACAACAAGGACAAAAATCTTGGTCCTGGAAAAACAGAGCTCATAAGCACCAAACTCTGATACTGTAATGGATTAAGGCAAAGAGAAGGAGAAGCAAACGCTAAGACATAAAGAAAAGAATCTACAACACAAACCCATCTTCATCATATCATCATCTTGGTCACAAGTTTCGATAATACCAAATTTGATGGAGATTAGGTATTTACAGACTTCTTCTTAAACCCTAACTTGTTCTACTCAAACAAATTGAGTTCCACTCAGAGGTTCTATATAGAATGGGGTGAAAACAACTTATCCACATCGAAAACATAAAGTAAACCCGAGAAGAAACGAGACACTGACGCAATGACCAGAAGAGAGTTTTAGTTGTTTTTAAATTAAGATACTCCTACACGACATTGTACTTGCAAATCCCCCCACTGCAGAATGATCACACCATAATGCTTTGTTCAGACGTACTCGTTGACTCGAAAGGCCGTCACTTTCAGAACGAAATCTCTGGTTCGTAGCAGCTCGAACACACAGACGTCTCCTTCTCCTAGGTTGTTCTCTAGAGTGAACTCGTACCATCCTTGACTGAATTTGGCTCTCCCGGCTTTGTAGAGACATCGTACAGGCCATTGTTTCTCCGCGAGCTGGACCTTGATGAACCCGGAGATCCCACTTAGGTACTTCTCAGCAAACCCAGAAGGAAGATACTGTTCAAAGAAACAGAAACAGAAGACTTCTTTTAGAGATCAGTGAAGGCCGATAAGATTTAAGTCTTCCTAAGATGTTTTAATTACCATGATGCAACCTCTGTATAGATAAGATGGTCGCAGAACAACTCTGAAGAAAGGATTTGTCGGCTCGAACGTTTTGGCTGCATTAATGGCCCTCTCTCTTTCTTCTGCAGTCACGGTTCTCTTTCTCGCAGAAGCACTCTCGTAGAACTTTGAACGGTTCTCTGGGTCATCATCGCGCGGAGCAGATGAGTTTATTTCCTCTGTAAGGACCATATCAAAAGGATTTATCATGAGGAAGAATCTGTGAATCCTCTGCAAAAGAGTCTGAAACATTTAAAAGGGGAAAATGCTTACCAGGATCAGCATTTTTCTTCTTCCTCCCTCTCTTTTTCGGAATTTTTGGAGTTGGCGTTGCCTCTTCAGCTGAAGAAAAGGAAAATATCAACCATCAACCTTAAAAAAAGGATAAACGCGTAATCCGCGATAGATAAAGGTAATTAGTTGGTTATAATATCACCTTTAACAGATCCAGTGAACAAGCTTTGGATGGCTGAACCAGCATACCCTTTGTTGGCTGGTACTGTAGACTCAGGAAGTGGTGAAGGGTACACGGAAGAAGGAAAGATGAACTCGGCATCTTCATCTTCAAGGTCTTCAAACAAACGGGCGCGTTTGAAGTGGTTGTGTGCGGAATCCATGAGACCGGTGGAATGGTAATTGATCTCAGAGTGGGATAAATTGAAAATGTAGACGCTGAAGGCAGAGTTTCCTTCGTATCTAAAAATCAAAAGATAACCAATGCGAATGGAGTAACGGTCAACAAACTCTTGCCAACCATCTTGAAACCAAATTTTGTTGTCAGCTTTCCTTAGTCCTACACGCCAAACATGACCATCAGGTACTGTGAGTGCAACAGCAACCGAAAGCTCATCCTTGAATTTACTCACAAACTTATCTGGGACTCTCTGCACAAGCATACCGGTATGAGATATAAAGAATCATATAAAGGTCCATAAGATCTATAAGAACTACACTAGATATTGCGAGAACATAAAATAAAAAATGGACATGTTTCAGCAAAAACATTCGATAAACACAGTTGCTAAAGAAATGACGGCTTTACCTAATTTAAAAACACCATTCACATGGCCGTATTTCAGTTTAGAAGGTATCAACAAGGAACACAGTCCATTACTACACATGTAACATGGTACATTTATCTCTGAATAGATTCTCCTATGATCTTATCACATTAATCATATGCTTGTGAACTTTGGGTGAACATAAATGCATATATGCCAAATGGGAGCTAAACACTATCTGAGTTTGTTCAAAACAATGCACAAACATTTCTTGAGGCAATCGGCACAAGTGATGACTAATCACTGTATCAAATAAAGTAGATAACTTTAAAACACCAACATAATACACAGAGACCTGTAAAACAAGTCAACTACTCAATTTAAGGGATTCACTCACTAGCCACAATACTCTATTATCATTAAGGAGTCTAAGATCTCAGACATTCCTAAGTCAAACAGAGAAAACAGTCAAAATAGAGTAAACAAAACAGACACTTGAAATAGAGAAACCATAAACAGATCTCAAATTTTTCCCCTCATCAATCTGACAGAATCAAATCATCCTCATAAGTCAAATCACTCAAAAAAAACATTCTCAAACTACACATAATTTGCTGTCAGAGAGAGAGAACACATATGCCATCAAAAAACCAAATTCCCACCAAACACAAACAATGACCATACGAAACTGTCTTGCAGACTTCCGATTCGAAACCCACAAAATCCCATTTGACCAATAATCACAACACAAGCTTCAAAAATGGAAAACAGGGAAGGAAAAAAACACACACAACATTGACACGATTCCTAACAAGAATCAAGACAATTGAATTGCAAGAAATCAAACAAGTGTGTCACAACGCATAATCTTACAAACTAGCATCACCAGATTCCAACCCTTGAAACCCTCAATTTCGCACAAAATCAAAACTTTTTAAGAGCCCAGAAATTGGAAGAGGAGAAAGAGAAGGAGAGGGAGAGAGTAGTAGTTTACCAGACGTTTTTCTTGGATAGTGGATGAGAAAATCAACTTATGGAAGAAAGGGCGTGGCATGTTCAGACACAACAGTGACGAAGTAAGAAAAAGGAAGAAGAAGAGAAGACCAGAGAGAGTCAGATCATGAAACGACGCCGGAGAATAAAAGGACAGAGACTGAGAGAGAGAACCCTTTCAGATCTGAAGGAGTTTTATTGTGTTAAAGCTCTTTTAGATTTTAGTCAAAGGGGTTACAACACTCTCTCTTTTCTTTTCTTTTCTTTTCTTTTCTTTTTAACACACCTGACCTGAGGAGTGACCCAACCAAACCCAAGAAGAAGCAAAAAAAAAAAAAGAAAAAAAAAACCAACTTGTCCTAAAACGAAGCTCGAGCGAGTTGAATCTGTGTTAGCTCGGTTGACTCGGTGAGTCGAATCGGTTGGTCACTCGTGTGGTTTTTATTTTTTATTTTCTAACTAATCAAAAGCCGACCGCCCCCACCTACTCCCCTTTTTCGACCATCTTTTTTTTTATTCTTAACAAATGTTTCTTTTTTGTATTTTTGATTTAAATATTTGTTTCTTTTTTGTAGCACGCAATATCGCAGAAAAATATATTATTGCCTTATAAAATAAAATAAATATCTGATACTCTGTTATACGTCCTTATTTGCAAACAGATACCGTTCCGGAAAATCTCATTTTTAAAACAAATAAAACACTTGTAAACTAGTACCATGAAGCCTAAGGACAAATATATAGGTCGAGAGGAAAACAAAATTGGTTTCCAAAAGAACGAAAAAAAAGAGTCTATTATAAGTTTATAATCATGGCACTGTATTAACGGTATGTATAAACTTAGAGAATGACGACAAGTTAAAACATGTATAGATATATAAATCAAACTAAAACATGTATAACCGATTGCAACATATATAAACTCGATTACGACATGTATATTCATGGCTATCTCACATGCATAAAATTTATGTATTTCTTGTATAAATCCAGCTACAGTTATACCTAAAAATAGCCTATATATGTAAAAAAAAAAAAAAAATCCAAAAAGAAGTTTAACCTCTCTAATATATGTTTAGTAACTATTATTTCTCGATGAAATATTGGAATTTGACTTGCAGTTAGTTTCGGCTTACCATTGGCCACCTCCCATCATTGGTCTCAACATTATTTTTGAATGGACTTTGGAAAGCCTGGTTCTGTCTTCAGTCTTCTGGCATTTTATCCTTAGAATAATGTAGGAGATGTAATAAGATAAAAGGGGTAAATATTCCTCTTTTCACCAGTTCGCGTGCATTTTAGAAATATTTGATGCCTAATTAAAAATCAGGAAGTAACAAAATCGCTGTTTTAAAAACAAAAAACAAAATCCAAAAGTAGATCTCATCTCGCATGCATGTTCAATGTGGATAGAAAAGCAAAACATTGGTCACGCTCATTAAGTCATCAATAAGAAAACGTTAGGAACACATGCATGTGTATATATATATATATATATGATCGTCGTAGTCATAATTTAGCTGAGTGACTGATTAATATGAATCGTACATCGTCATCAACTTGGAGCTATATATGTCGCTTAACATATATTGACTTCTTATGATGGGAGGAAGAAGAATGGTATTGAAAACCTCATTGAATAACTTGTGTTCACCACCACTCTATGCTTCGTGTAATCGTGGTTTAAGTAATACTTTTGAAATTTGTTAATTCTTTTAACCGTGGCAAGTTGAAGGCAATCACGTGATTTGTTTGGATGTATATATTCTGTCTGTTGACAACGCATTTATCAACTTTTCAGATCGGTTTATTATGTAGGATTAACAAATAAAACACTGATATACTCATATATACACTAATGATAAAATATTTGATGAAAAGTTTTCTTAAATCCCAATTCAAATTAAACATGTGAAATTATTAAAATATCGCCATTTATAAAAAAAAATCTGATGAGACGTTTATTTTTAAAATAATTCCCATTTACATTTAGTATGCATGTAAAATCTCGCTTGCATTTTGTGAAACATTTATTCAGGAAGAAAAACTACGTACATATTAGTTTTAAAGACAGAGAAACAAATCTGAACTTGATTTTTGCCCAAAAAAAAAAAAAACAAATCTGAACTTGATTAACCACATATAAAAAGAACCAAGAGAAATCAACATAAGGCTTTAGTTACTAAGCCTTGAAGTGATCAATCTGGATATTCTCAACCTCGAGCTTCTTGAAATCACTTCTGTTTCTTGAAACAAAGAACTTTCCCCAGTTGTACGTTTTATAACAAGGCGGGTTTTCTTCACTTATAAGCTCCTCCAATGGCGCAATGTTGGCTTCATGTGACGGGAAGAAGAAGAATGGTATTGAGAATCTCTCTTTGCTTGTGTTCACCACCACTCTATGTTCAGCACTCCAATACTTATCATTTGTCCACACCTACTCCACAAAAATCCAATCTTATATTCACTCATCATCTCTAATATAATACATCAAAGATATATATTGACACTTATGAACTGATCAGTCTATGTTTTACCTGAATACAATTGCCAATGTTAATGATCAAAGCATCCGAGATCGGTTTCACGGGGATCCATTGTCCATCCGATCTACGACTAACTTGTAATCCACCTACACTATCTTGGGCCAGGACGGTTAAAGCTCCTCCATCTTTGTGACGTCCAACACCTAATGCTAGCTCGGGGTTCGGGCAAGGAGGGTAATGGTTAAACCTCAAAAAACTAGTTTGCTCATTGAAGAAACCGGTTAACCGATCACCAGGTAGACCCAAACTAATGGAGACAAGTTCCAATAGCCTAAAAGCTAACTTCTCAACTTCTCTTGCATATTCTTGGCATGCCTCTCTACCACACACACATGATAAAAATTTAATAAAATGAACTCTAATCAGGCCCATTGGGCCTAAGATACACAATAATTCAGATGAGTGAGAGAGAATCAAACTGGTCACCTGAAATGAGAAGGGTTTTGAGGCCACTGGTTCGTGAGCTTTCTGAGCTCAGTATCTTCCGGCTCCGGTGTCGCCGGAACTATCGTAGAATCTTGCAAGAAGAAATCAAAAATCTCTTTCCAATCTCTAACGTTCTTGGTGTGTTCCTCGTCGTGATAACCCATAGGATTCACTTCGTCTCTTTTCACTTTCCTCTTCTCCTCCGTTGTTAGATTGAAAAACTCAGCACATGCCTCCTCTACACGACGCCTTAAATCCGAAGGTAAGCCGTGGTTGATCACCTGGAAAAATCCCCATCTCTTGCATGCCTCTGCAATCTCCGCCGCGATCGCCGTCTTGTCGTGATCGGGATCTCTGAGAGAAGAAAGGTCGATGGTCGGGATCTCGTCGGAGTAAATAAAATCATTGGAGTTTGTGAGGTGAGTGTTTGGTCTGTGTTCTGGAGCTTGGATAAAAGCTTCGTCGAGTTCTCCCATGGCGGTTTTTGCAGTGGTTAGTTTTAGAGGCTTTTTGGGGCTTTGGAGATATCGATGATTAGTGGTGCGGTTGGTGGTGATTTATAGGATAATGCCACGTACGTAGAGTAGTATTTTCTTGTCCTGAAATAAAATGAATCTAGACTAATTTATTTTATGCAAACCACTATAGGTTCAATTTTCCTTTTTTTTTTTTTTTGTTGTCGTCAACTAATTACACTAGGTGATCATTGGTGTCTGCATTTTTAAGGTCTTTATCGTAGTTCATCTACCAAATGATGTCATTAGAGCATGTTCTTTCAATGAATCTCTCACCTAAAAAAAAATAAAATAATAAAAAAGTAAGAAAGAGAATAAAATGAATCTCTCAAATGAGAGATTTTGAAAACCTTGTGAGAGACTCAATTAACACATGTTTTAAGATAATTAGTTATGACTTTTATTTATACTTTAAATTTTAAATACAAACAAAATTTACATAAAAGTTATTAAAATAATATATTTGAGAGACTAAGAAAGGTTCTCTCCACTGTACATGTTCTTAGGGTTTTCCTTCAGTTTCAAATGAAAAAAAAAAAAAAAAAATTCCTCAACAACCAAACTCGTGCTGAACGTAGAGTTAGACGTAAACATTACTTTTTTTAACAGTTTGACACTAATAAAATTGTTTCGAGTCAAAATAAGTAAGTTCTAATAGCGTAAAGGCTAAGAGCATGTGCAGTGGCAAGAACTCATATTAGTCTCTCAAATATATTATTTTATTAGATTTTATATAAAATAATTTTTTATTTAAAATTTAAACTATAAATAAAACTTATAATCTATTATAGTGAGACATGTGTCAAATGAGTTTCTCACAAAGTTTTCAAAGTCTATCACTTGAAAAATTCACTTTATTCTCTTTTTTACTTTTTTGTTATTTATAATTATTTTTAGGTGAGAGATTTATTGAGAGACTACCACTAAACATGCTCTAACTTTTCTCGCATATTCTTGGCATACCTACTTATCCGTACCACAAATAAACTTGAGGGTAACAAGCAAGATTCTTATCAAACTCAATGGGCCTTTGTTAAGGCCTTTTTTAGCTGTTCTTGAGAATTTTTCATATGAATTCTCACATGATAAATGACATAATGTGAATTCTAGTTCGAAAGGGGTCCACACTTACATAGTTACATTTAAGTCGCTCGCTAGTCAGTAGACTTGCACATCACATATGCTAGAAAAAAGACTTCAAAATTAATTAATTTTCCAGGGAAAGCGAATTAGATGGTAATGATTTGTTAGGGAATTTGTAGCAAATTCAGCCAAGTTATTCTTCAACTTAATACATTTTGTTTGGGAACAACAAGGTTGGATTGTAGTAAAATATGCAGAAGTATGATCAACTAATTAAAGACAGAAAAGGATAACTAGAATTGAGCATGTATAAATAACAATATCTAAAATTAGGACATAGACAAATACAATTTGCAAAGATATATAGTTAAGTGGTCAAGAGAGGAGGACCACAAAACGATTTTACCTTTGAATCTGGACGCAATCTTATGAGTGGTGCCGAAATTGAAACACATAAGTCAATTCTTTAAAATGAAGACATTTTATTTGTTTTGTTTCTAATTAGCTAGCCTATTTTGACCTGAGGGATGTGCTTATAGGACACTAATAATTGGTACTTGTAAACACTTTTTTAATTCGGTCAATTATATTATTACTTTCTCTCTCAATAATTGCCACATCCAATACATAAAACTCATCAAATATATTGTTTCCGACACAAATTCAGTCCCACACACATTACTTGATTAATATGAATATATGATGCATAGCTTGGTCAAAAAAAAAAAAAAAAACAATCGATACATAGTAGATTAAGTATTAACTTTGAAGTCATCGATTTGGATGTTTTCGATTTCCAGCTTTCGAAAATCGCTTCTGTTCCTACTGACGTAGAACTTACCCCATTTATAGCCTTTGTATCTTGGAGGGTTTTCAGGACTCACAATCTCTTCTAATGGCTTCACTTCCACATCGTGTGAAGGCAACAAGAAAAATGGTATTGAGTATCTCTCTCTTGTTGTGTTCA